ACAAGAAAGGGTGAGCTTATTAATCAGGAAGTCTCAGAGGCTGAAAACTATCTAGGCCTAGGTTGGATTATATAGAGACTAGAAGCTTCCAGGACTAGGCCTAGGTTAGCAGTCAGAGGCAGTAAGCCTCAGAGATAACAACTAAAACAGGTGAATAAAAGTTCGTTTTACAAAGTCCATCGAAGGATCTGCTGGTCAGGGCAGGCAGTGTTAGCAAGAAGCAGGATAGAGCTTGAAGGCCAAGAGAATGAGAGACTCAAGGGCCCCTACTTTCTCTCTAGCATGGTCCAGAGTGTAGACCAGCAGTTCTCAACCTTCCTAAAGCTGCAACCCTTTAATACAGTTCCTCATGGTGTGCTGATCCCAATCATAAAATGACTTTTGGTCAGGTTGGTGACGCACGCCTGTAATCCCAGCACTCAGGGAGACAGAGGCAGGTGGGTCTCTGTGGGTTTGATGCCAGCCTAGTCTACAAAGTGAGCTCAGGACATCCAAGGCTACACAGAAAAAAAACGTGTCTCAAAAAAACAAAAAAATTATTTTGGGAGGGCTAGAGAGATGACTCAGAGCTTAAGTGCACTGGCTGTTCTTCTAGGGGTCCTGAGTTCAATTCCCAGCAACCACGTGGTGGTTCATGACCATCTATGAGATCTGGTACATGTTTTTGTCCTGCAGGCACAGCTGCAGGCAGAATACTGTATAAATAATAAACAAAAAAAAAACTTTAAAAGAAGAAGAAAACATGGAATAAAAATTATTTGTATAGCTACTTCATAACTGTAGTTTTGCTATTGTTAGGGGTCATGGCCCACAGGTTGAGAACTACCATTGTAGACTTTGTTCCAAGCTGTGGTGTAGACTTTCAGTTTAAAGATGTTCTAAATGGGATAGTAAGTTACCATGAACTATTCTGGTACTCTGCTGGGTGTGTTTGGGATTTGGCTCAAATTGGCCTCAGCTAATTTTTAGGGTTCCCCCCCCCATGAACTGAGCACCTATAATGTATTTACTGGTCCTATGAATAGAAGATACAGAAGGCACATGAGGGCAGAGATGTGCACACAGGTCAATAAATATAGATGTTTCAGGGTGACAGCTGAGCTAGAAGCAAAGGGGTAAGGTCAAAAGCGTCCAAGGAGTGATCCTTTGCCCAGGGATGAAATTATTAGAGGGATAGAAGACAAGCCCACCTGTGCTCCTGGCACCCGGCCAGCACCTTACAGGTAGGGTGCTAGGGTGGGCCAGGTGCCATCGGACTTGACTTTGAACCCCAGTTCTGCTACTTTTTACTGACAGCTATGTGTCCCTGAGCAAGGTGATTTCACTTAGGCCCAGTTTCCCATCTGTAAAATGTTGGCAAAAACATGAAGATTCTTTTGCCATCTGGGTCTCTCTTAGGTTCCACCAACAGAGGGAGCTGTAGGGGTGGGGAGCGCTTGCTTCCAGCTGTTTCTTTCCACGGCACTCCTCTTACCTCACAGTCCCACTGTCCTTCCCAGGACCCAGCCTGGGCTAGAGGCTTCTTCCCACAACTGTTTGTGACGTGCTTAACTTTTTGTTTTTCAACAGTAATGCCAATCCTTCATATTCCTGCATCGGAGTCAAGGAATCCCCTAGAATTGCTTCTGTTTGCCCCAGGGGACGTCTCACAGTTGGACACACACTGCACAGGGACTAATCCTGTAGTTGGCTTAGGGATTCACTGAAGACCAACACTGGGGAGGGAAGGATCAGGCCTGGAGGAAGTCTCACAGGATGCGAGCCAGGTCTGGTGATGGCCAGCACTGTGCAAAGTAGGGACAAGGAAGCTCTTGGCTGGGTTGAAAGTGGCATCTGTATGAAGCAGGGTAACTCATTACTCTGGAAGGGCCCATTGTAGTAGAAAGGGGGAAGGCTTCACTGCTGTGGCCTAGAGCCAGGGAGGTAGAATTTAGAGACAAGGTTGCAGAATAAGGGAGCAGGATGAGCCCCTGCCTCTCAGATCTCAGCAGGGAGAGCTGGGCCTGCATCATCTGCTGTATGATATCAGGCAATTCCTTCTGGTTCCTAGACCATTAATTCAGTTCTTCTGAAAATAGGTGTAAACAAATACCCTCTGGACATAGAGTCCACATTTGCTAGTGTAAGATACTATGGGTAGGTGGAGAGGAGAAGCTGGGAGCTGTGGTTCCAAGCAGAGTCACCGTGGGAAGAATTTGGATGGAAGCTTCAAGGGATGTGATGTCCATTCTTCATACACATGAGAAGAAGATGAGCAGAGGCGGTGGGTTGGATGGGAATGGAGACTAGACCGGGCACAGGCATGGTGGATACGAAATGAGGAGTGGGAAGCCACATCAGGCATACAGTGGCTCTGGCAGCACTATACACAGAAGCTGATCCAACAGCTTTGGGACACCATCCTTCACTATGTGTGGCCCCAAAGATGCTGTAATCAGAGGACTGTCATCCCATGGCTGGGAATTCCTAGCAAGTTTCTGCCTCCATTTCTCTTTCTCTCCCCAGATGGAAGATGTCACAGGGTTACAAAGTCATACTGCTATTCTTGAATTCAAGAAAATCTACCGTTGCCCACATCATGGGAAGAAAAATGGCCTTGGAGAGAGTGTGTGAGAGAACCCTGTGGTCCATGGTATGAAAAATGAGAAGAAATCCATGGTATTAAAGCAGGAGATAAGGGCAGAGACAGCCCAGCAGCCCCACTGTCCTCTAGATCAGGAGATTGTTCCTTTAAAAGCAAGTCCTTTTCTTTTTGCTCTATAAATGATATATATTCTTTAAAAAAAAGTTAGCTAATGATGGCAGTAGTGGTCCAGAGCTTACAAAGCACATGCCATCATGATCTCATGTTAGGCCTGGGTTTCCCACCCCATAAAATCTCCACCATGCTGCCTCAGCCCGCCTGCTTCCACAGCAGCTGATGTCTTCTCAGACAGGCTTTTAGAGGTTAAAACCACCCCCAGCTTCACTTCCCATCTGACCCTGTGCTCAGCTCTGCTCTTTTTGTGTTGTTCCTTTCTTGATCTTTTTTCATAACCTCTGGATTAAAATTTTTTTAAATTTTATTTTTATGTGTGGGCCTGAGTATGTGTGTGTACCATGTGCATGCAGGTGTCTGAAGAGGCCAGAGGAGGGTGTCAGATCCCCTGGCACTGGAGTTATGGGTGGTTGTGAGCTGCCTGATGGGAGTGCTGTGAATTGAAATTGGGTCCTCCGGAAGAGAAGCGAGTCACTTCAACGCAGAACCATCTCTCCAGCCCCTGGATTTCTTCCTCTCTGTCTTCTCAGTCTCATCCAGCCCTCTTTTCTCTCTGCCTTCCTCTGCTCTAATTTTGTGTGAGGAAACAGGCTTAACACATCCTGAGAGGACAGGCCTAGTGGGCCCTGTGCTTTCTTAGGAAGGAACCCTTTCTCTCTGGAAATGAGTAAACAGAAAGTCTCACAGCCCTAGCTAAGGGGCAGCACTGAAGGCCAGACCCACATGGAGAAGTTTCCTAATGACCTTCAAGTTTGCTTCCTTCAACACTTTGGGGTCCCCAGATACACCTTGCCTATGGCAGGGAATGTCTTGGTTCTGTTTCTACTGAAGATCACTGTACTAAACATCTCTACTGCCTTCTCAGGTCCCTGGGTTTTCTCCCCAGAGGACTGTAATCTGCTCTCCCTACCCCTACAAAGACTCATGGCCAGGCTGTGACAAGGCCCCAGACACAATCTAGAGGGCATGATTAAGCATTCCACTCTTTTATGCTCTGTCATCTCTACCATGTCTGCAGCCATTTTGCTGGCTGTGAGTTGTCTGAATTTGGAAGCTAATAGAGGGCCAAGAGGTTGCTTTCTTGTTCTGTTTAGATCGTTTACCCCTCTTTCTATGTGGTAGATGTCTAGGCCAACCTAGATATCCAAGGCTAACCTATCAGATCTCCTGTTGTCTCTGAGAAAGAAGGCATGTTTTCCCTCCACAAAGCCTCCTACATAGTTGGGAAATCCCCACTGGAGTCCAATCTCTAGCTTCTCTTCCTAACTTGTTAAATCTCCTGCTTTTCAGGACTCAGATAGCAAAAGAACTTGTCCTTCTGGCTTGACATCTGTCTCTTGTCTTTTGAGGTGGAGCCCCAAATAGAAGATCAGCATCTGTTTTTCAACTCTCCATCCCTTCCTGCAGCTCCCCCTATGTCCAGGTTACATTGGCATCCTGAGCAGGTGATGTCCAGCATCACCTATGTCCAGCATAGGAGGCTGGGAGTTTGGGTGCAGGGTTGACCTAATAGTGCCATGTATTTCTGTGCTGTGTGAGCGTACAGGTTCCGGGTTCAAGCTGGGTGGCTATTTGTTTGTAAGACATTCTTACTCTGTAGCTCAGGCTGGGCCAGGGTTTCCCATATAGCCCACTGGCCACGGCTGCCATCGCTGCAGTTCTGGGAGCAACCATTAGGGGTCAATGTTGTTTCAATCACAATGCCAGACCTGATCTTGACATAAAAGCCTGGACTGACTCCCTGTGCAAAGTCAGTGCCCTTCAAAGGCATATGGGACAGAAGCAGAGATTCTGGCCTCCCAGAATAACCACACCAAGTTTGACATAGATCCCGCTCTGGCATGTGCCCTCTGCCTTGTCTAGGGCACTAGTCAGGACAGGGTTCCTCCTCCTCTCCATGTTCTAGCCACTCAAAGTCTGTCCTGTGTTTTCCTGAAGGGTAAAACCTGCCCATTGGTCAGATTCAGCCATGGACAGAATGCAAAGTGCTGGAGGACTGCCTGATTTTGCTGAGAGGCCAGATACAGAGGTCCCCTGTGTGTCTCAGCCACTTCTGGCCATGAGTGCCATAATGACAACATTTTTCTGTGTCACTGTCATAGCAATTGTGGCTGTTGGGGTCCTTATCAGGGTAATGTTTCATAGCAGTATTTCTATCCTGTACTGACACCTTGGGAAAGAGAAGGGTGGTCTATGCAGGGTCAACATGCTTGTGGATGGAGAGATAGTGGGAAGTCTGGGACCAGAGCACAAACAGACCCCAGTCTTTATTGTGTTTTCTCCAGTCTTCCCCAGAGAGGCTGAGAAGGAGATGGGAGAGAGGGAGACAAAGCTCTCACATCCAGGACTAGCAATCCAGGGACAACTGGAAAAGGACAGACGTGCATCAAGGGATGTCCTTGACGCAAAGGAGGGAGGAGCACCAAGTTTGAGGTCCCTGGGTAGAGCAGGGGGAGAGAAGTGAGGGTACTGACCTGCCCAGGGTCCTAGGGTTCCTGTTCTGTCCTGGTATGTGTGGTAGAGGGGAGGAGATGAACAGGAAAAGAAAGGGCAGGGACATGAATGTTTGTCTTCAGGTCCCAAAGTGAGTAAAGAGCTCTCCAGACTTGCCTCTGGCCACTCATTGTCTCCCAAGCTGTTGATGGCCCAGCGTCGGAGAGGCCGTGTCTCTGGACCCTGTCTCCAGTGGGCTAGCTTTGTCAGTCTGAACAGTGTCTCTTCTGAGGGAAGGACGTGCCTGCCCTGTGATCTGAGGGTCCCTCCTGCTGTGGCCTCTCATGCTTTCCCACAGGCTGTCTCTCTGAGTCATCTGTGAGTTCAGATGCCTCCCTTTTTTGCTCCTGCTCTCTGATAGTGCTGAGATAATCTTGACCTGCCTAGGGAGACTGGGGAGTGAGAGGGAAGCAACTGGTTATAAAGGTTGGGCTCTATCTTCTCTGCCTATGGGAGGCCAGTCAGGTGGGGAATGGAGAGACCCTTAGTGTCCTGGGTCTCCATTTAGGGGTCTACAGTCTGAAGCTCCCTTTGAGGTTGGTGGGGAGTCAGGCTCTGCCTCAGCAGGCAGCAAGGAGGCCTGGCCACGCTGGCACTCTGGGCTGAAGTAGAAGGAACAGAGTCGGAAAGAGGGCCGAAGCTCCTCCTGTATTCGATCCAGGATGTGGATGAAAGTAGGACGCAGGCGGGGGCTGTGCTGCCAGCAGCGTCGCATCAGCTCCTGTCTGGTGGACGTGAAGTGGGTTAGAGGGAACCCAGACAAACTCCTGCCTCCCCAATAGGAGGGTATCAGTGGAAGAAAGGGATCAGAGGGGAATAAATGAGGAAAGTAGGTAAGTTAAGAACTAGGAGTAAGCTGGGCATGGTGGCACGTGCCTGTAGTCTCAGCATTCAAAGAGGCAGAGGCTGGTGGATCTTTGTTAGTTTGAGGCCAGCCTGGCCTATAAAGTGAGTCCAGGACAGCCCGGACTACACAGAGAGGCCCTGTCTTGAACAAAAAGAACTGGGAATAGGGCTGGAGAGATAAGTCAGTGGTTAAGAGCACTGAGTTCAATTCCCAGCAACCACATGGTGGCTCATAACCATCTTTTCTTGGATCTGATACCCTCCTCTGGGATTCAGGTGTATATGCAGATAGAGCACTCATCTACATAAAGTAAATAAATCTTTAAATAAAATAAGAAAGAACTAGTAGTGGCTAGGTGGTGGTGCCTTTAATCCCGGCACTTGGGAGGCAGAGGCAGGTGGACCACTGAGTTTGAGCCAGCCTGGTCTACAAAGTGAGTTCCAGGACAGCCAGGGCTACACAGAGAAACTCTATCTTGAAAAACCAAAAAACCCAAACCAACCAACGAGAGAACTGGGAGTCAGTGATGTAGAAGCTTTGGAGTTAGGTCAGAATCAAGGGTGGTGAGCACAGTGCAGGGGTGGAGGAGGGGGTGCAGGAGGCAGGGATGACTCACAGCTGAAGGGGAAAGTCCTCCAGTTCTTCTAGCACTCCACCGTCCATGACAAATTTGAGCACCTGCTCGTTTGATAGACCCTGGTATGGCTGCTCAGCCAGGGTCGCAATCTCCCAGAGCACCACACCAAAGGACCTGGAAAACATGAAGGAGAGCCTGGATCAGGCTGCTTGGCACCCCCAGCAAGTCCTAAGCCCTTCCCAAAGGCTGCTTGCACATTCCTGGAAGTCACTCCTGTCAGGCCCTACCAGACATCTGAGTGAGTAGTGAAGATTCCATCTTTTAGGGACTCAGGGGCCATCCAGCGCACGGGCAGCAGGCCCTTTCCACCCTTGCGGTAATAGTCGGTCTCGTACACATCCCGAGTCATCCCGAAGTCTAAAAAGCAAGAGTTTTGGGCATGCACTGGTTCCCCTGGAAGACAGTCCCTGAACCGCTCTACCCCCAGTCGCTAAACATTCTGGAATGTGTGAGTTCAAAGGGTCTCGGAGGCCATTTCTTCTCTTGAACATGGAGATGGAGACATGAGGTTAGGGGACCTGCTGGTTAAGCCTATGGACCAGGACTGGTCTCTGGGCTAGATTACGGAGACTCTCTACGGCCACCTGGTAAACACTGTACCACCAATTTTGACGGTAAAGTCCTGGGACACCATGCAGTTGCGCGCTGCCAGGTCCCGGTGCACAAACTTCTTGGCAGCAAGGTAGGCCATGCCATCTGCAATCTCACCAGCCATCTGTATCATGTCACAGAGTGCTGGCTGTGGGAGGCCAGGGTTGTTCTATAGGCAAGAGAGAGGCTGGTGAAGGACTACCCCTCACCCACACTCTGCCCAACTCTTCTCAATTCCCAGCCTCATATGGCTCAGAGTCTTTCTTGTTCCAACCTCTGCCTCAGGTCTCAGAGATCGGAGATGGCTCTTGAGGTCCCCACGGGTCATTAACTCCATGATGACCAGAGTTGGCTGGCCCTGAGACACCACACCCAGGAGACGAACCTGAGATGACAAAGATGTTTGCTGTGGTTCCTCCATCTCCATGATCCACAGGGCCAAAACCTCAGCCTACTGTGATGATAACCTGACCCAGGGCCCATCTTCACTCTCACTGGGAGTGTAATCCTTAATTCTTAACCCTGATCATATCTGATCCTAACACAGCACAACTTGGCCCAACTCTGACCTTGATCCAATGAAGACCCTAATAACTCTCTGGACACCCAATGCTGAGTCTTGATCCTGACTATCTCAGTTCTAGACTGTTCCTGTTAAAATGTTAACTGTAGTCCCAGCCCTGACCTGGTAATGTCCTTCCCCTCTCACCACATAGCCTTACCCTAGTTATGGCCTTACCACATGGTGACACTTGAATGCTTTCATGACAGATGCTTCCTTGAGGAATTCAATGCATTCCCGAGCACTGGCCAGCTCATTCACTGTCTTCAGAGCTACAGGTGTAGACTCCTCGCCAGCCTCCAGTCCTCGTGCCAGTCCCTCATAGACCATCCCAAAAGAGCCTTGGCCCAGCTCTCGGATGATGGTTATCTGCTCCCGGGGAACCTCCCACTCGTCAGGGCTGTACACTGAGAAGACATGCGTGCCAGGAGCAGGGTGCCCCTCTCTGTCTTCACCTGCCTCTTGACTCTTTTTTTTTTTTCCCCTTAAAGTTATTATCCAACTTTACTGGTGAAAAAGGACTACTTTGCTGAGATCATAATGCCTTAATATTTAATTATAAATTCACTAAAGGCAGGACAAAAGCATATATGCTAGTTTTATGCTGGATTCCTTGGTACAGAAAACAGTGAACTGTTAGCTTCAAATTAGGGCAGTGCTTCTTCTCTTGTGTGTGCCCAGCGTGTGTGTGTGTGCATTCATGTGTGTGTGTCTCTGTGTGTTCCTCCTTATTCACTGAGGCAGGGGCTCTAAATCAAAACCAGAGCTCACCGATAGGCCTAGTCCTGGCCAGTTTGCCCTGGGGATCCCTGTTTCTCCCTGTGAGGTTGGAATTACTTGTGGGCCACTATGTCCATCTAGCATTTATGAAGATTTCTAGAGATTCAAACAATCTGAACTTGAGTCCTCATCTTTGTGCAGCGAACATTTTCATTATTATTATCTTTTTACACCTTATTTTTAAGTGTATGAGTATTCTGCCTGCATATGTGTGTGGGGGCCAGAAGAAGGCATAGGATCCTTGGAACAAGAATTGCAGACAGCTGTGGGCTGCCCTGTGGATGCTCGGAATAGAACTCAGGTCCTCTGCAAGAGCAGCTGGTGCTCTTAACAAACATTTTAATGGGGAATCACCTCTTTAGCCTTCATCTGTTCTTCTGTTGTTGTTGCTGGGTGTTGTGCACAGATGTACCTGCTGAGTTAGTCATTGATACAGGGCCCCCCTTAAACTGGAGACTCCGCGAGGGGTTTGGGCAACAAGCTCTGAAAGATCCTTGCCTGTCTCTACAACCAAAGCTGTAGATCATTTGTTACGGGCATAAACAACGTTGTCACGTGTTTATGTAGCGCTGGGAATTCAGACCCAGAGCAAGCACTTTCACACACTGAGCCATCTCTCTAGGCATCACTCCCAGACCATCAGATTAGGGTGCCACTTCTTCTCCAAAAGCTACAACATCATTTCAGGTTCACTTTATGTAGACAATGGAGTCCTTTGACTTCTCTTCTGAAGCGCTCTGTTCTTAAGGCCACCTTCTCCAGGAAGGGCTTCTGGAACTCTGCTCTCCCACTCCTGCCTTCTATCCCATACCACCTGTGCCTGGACTTACTGTGGGAAGCACTGAAGTACTCAGGGTTCACAGACGTGTACATCGTGCTGTTTCTGCAAGGGATCCAGGGAGGAAATGAATGCACCAGGATGGTATTGACCACCATCGCTCTGATCAAGGTGACCTCTAGGGAGTCCCAAGCATTTCCAAGCTGCCCATGGTACTAGTCCTGGGACCAAATAGGCTGAGAATAGGTAAAGCCAGGGGTAGAAAAGGGGATGTCCTCTCTCTAGGCCCTCTTGTGCTCAGCCCCAGGGTAGGTGATGACAGCTATATAAGCACATACTAGGGCTCCGGTCTTTCCTCGTCACAGCAGAACCAGCTTCATTATTTCTCAGCTGGAGCTAAGGGTGTGGAAGCCAATAGTCCCCAGATGCCCACACCAAGGGGTTTCTCGGGATGTAAGACATGTCCAGGTTAACAAGGATGAATTGTCACCCTAACTAAGAGGTTAGTTTCAAGTTAGGGCAGCGCTTCTTCTCTCGTGCGTGCCCAGCGTGTGTGTGTGCATTCATGTGTGCGTGTCTCTGTGTGTTCCAGGCAAAAACTTAGTGTCTTTAGGGAAGTCCTTTCTGTTGTCTAAACTATTGCCCTGTGACTGTGCTGTCCCTATGTTATGGCTAAGGGAGAGAATGGGATGGGAATATGTGGGACTTGTCATTACCTCTTCTTGCTGTAGAAGAACCCGAGGGCAGCAAGCATGATGAGCAGCATGAACCCCACAGGGGTGACGGTGAGGAGGATGCGCAGTCCCCCAGCATCCTCTTCCTCTGGTGGTGGAGTGTGGGAAACAGTGACAGGTCAGTGGCAGCACTGGAGAGTGGTGGTAGGCAGGGCTGACGGTGGGCACAGACCAGCTGGACAGAGTGGGAAGCAAGTCTGTCTTACCTGGACCGTTGATGTAGAAGGCAATACCTTCTGTCCAGGAGCCGTTGCCAGCCAGGGAAGTGGCTCGCACTCTAGCAGAGTAGTTTCCAGGGGGCAGCAGAGCCAGGTGGACCCCGCCAACTTTGGCATATCGAAGTCGGGACACACAAAGCACAGTGGCCTCCTGCGGGTGGAACAGACAGCAGGCTGGGAATGGGGTGGAGGGACAGGCTCAGACTGGGAGAGGAGTGCCTCGGTACCTACCTCTCCCAGCCGGCGGTACTTGATTTCATACTTGAGGATGAGCCCATTGGGGTCAGGTGGCTCAAGCCAATGCAAGATGACACTGCTCTTGCCAGCTGCCTTCCAGGCAACCTTCCCTGGGATGCCATCGGCCTCTCCTGCAAGAGGTTGCTCTCGTTCGCATTCAAACCCAGGCTACACTGAAGTTCTACAATCCTGGGAACCAGGAAGGGTGAACAGGGTGAGACTAGCGGGAGGGTAGACACGCTCTACTGGTTACAGGGGCACCTACTGTGTGGCATGGTACGTGCAAAGACGAAGGTGGCAGCACTACAGCCCACGGTGTGTGCCGCGTGGTTGCAGGCATGGATGTCAATCCTGTACTCTGTGAAGTGACGCAAGCCGCTCAGCACTGCTCGCTCCCGGGGAACCTTGTCCTCTTGAATCTCAAAATCCGAGTTGTTCCCCAATCTGAGAAGGCCAGCTTCCCTGCGGTCCCTGGAAATAGATGGGTCAGAGACCTAAGGCCTGTTCCCAGAGTCCCTCCGCTGTCCCCATGCTCGTTTCAGCTCACCTTTGGGGGCTCTTGCTGATGGATGTCACTTTCCAGGGGGCCCTGGAGAAGCCAGGGGACATGCTCAACTCCAGTATGCTCTGCAGCCTCCAAACCCACTCACGCCAAGGCCAGGCCCCTCCCACAAAGTTCCACCCTCTCTGAGTACCACCCCTCAGGCCCTCCCAACCAGGCCGCACTTGGGGATAGTGATGGCGTGGTGTAGGAAGTTTTCAAACTTTTTCTGGAACGTGGTGTCCTGTGCCTCCATTGTCGGCAAGGCCTGCCCAGGAGGTGAGTGTTGGCAAGGACAGCAGCCTTGCTCCGGCTCAGCCTCCAGTGCTGGGTCTTCACGGTCGAAGCGTGTGTCGTGGCTGCTGGTGGGCAGCCGCAGACCTGTGGCCACGGAGCAGAAGAGAGAAGTCAGGGCCATGCTCCACCCGCCACTACTGGGTACTCCCGGCCTGAGGTGCGCACCGCGATGGCAGTAGTCATTAATGTAGAGGTCACTGTCCTCTGCTAGCCGCTGCCACAGCACCAGGTAGTAGGTGATGTTTCCATTGCGCTGGACCGGCGGCTTCCAGCGCACCAGAAGGTGTGAGGAGGAGTTGGAGGTGGAGATGACATGTTGGGGCACCGTGGGTGCTAGGAACATGAAAAGGGTGCCATTCAGGGGTGTGACCCTTCCAAATGCTGTGTGCTGACGAGCTCCCACCTCTGGTTCACCCTCCCTTTCCAGAGCCCTCCTTCCCTGGGAATCATTCTGTGTTTTCTCTGTTTCAGAAAATAGGATGTATGAAACCCAGGCTTTCCATGGCAGACAAAGCAATCTCCCACCTGAGCCTGGTCCCAACCTTGGAGAAGCAATACAGAAGCTCAACACTGGGTATTCTCAGTCCTTCACAGGCCTTTGACTTCACTCAGCTACCACAAGTCCAACCCCAGCTTCCCCCAAGGCTCAGTGAATGCCCCATAGTGCAAAAGGACCTCCTGTCCTCCAGGGTGCTACACTCTCTGTGTCTGGTGCCTCTGTCTGCCTCATGCCTGAGCCCTCAGCTTACCTGCAGGCAATGTCCGAAGGTAGACAATGGGGCTCTGGGCTCCCTGATGGGGGCTGTCCTCAGCAGTGGTCAGTGTGATGGCCCGCACAAACACGGCGTACTGTGTCCAGGGCTTAAGGGGGGCTAGGGTCACCCCCGGCTCCTGGGTGCGGCTGAGAGGCAGTTCCACATCCAACAGGTTCCAACTCTGGGTTCCACAGGCATCTGGACCCACGTGTTCTGTGGCATTCTGGAATGGACTGCATGGGGGGTGGGGCTCAGGCCCATCTCCAAGCTCTCTGTCTCTCCTGCCCAACTACTCAGGACTGTCATAGCCATTCCCCCCCTATGCATGTAATTCCAGCCAATTCACCTACCCTATGGGGCTTATGATCTTAGCCATACATCACAAATAGTAATGAAATATTTTTAATCTCTAGTAAGAATTATTGAGCTTTTGTCTTAATGAGAATAGTAAAAACAAATAAGTTTGAATTCTTTTTAAACAATCCCTAGAAGTGGGTATGGTCAAACAAGCAGCTCATTCTCAGCTCTAGTGAGGTGACCTGGAGCTAGGATTGGTAGAGCAAGCTCCTGTCAAGAACAGCACAGTGCTTTTGTTTTGTTTTATTTTGTTTTAGGGAGTTTTTCCAAGTAGCCCAGTCTAGTCTTGAACCTTCCTTCCTGCTTCAGCCTCCTGAGTGTTTGCTGGGGTTATAGCCTGCACTGCACCCCATGAGCGGTGTTGTAACCAAGGCCTCTGCACAGCCTTTGGAAGTCCAGGGACCTCCCAAACTATAAGCACACTTCTTCATGTGTTTGTGTTTTGAGAAACGCCTTTCTAGAGGTGGTTTTCTAGCTTTTATGCTGTTCTGGAGTTCTCTGTGTAAACCAGGCTGGCCTCGAACTCAGAGATGCACCTGCCTCTGCCTCTGAGTACTGGGATTAAAGGTGTGTGTCATCACACACAGCTAGCTTCAAAGTCTTCAAAGTAGAGCCCCAAAAGCCAAGACACACTGACTCAAGGGAATAATTGAGGCAGACATTGGGGGTTAGGCCAGAGGCAGGCCTTGGAGAGACAGAATAGGCGGCACAGATATAAGGAGGGCTGGCTCCTGAGCAACGGAAGGGAGGACTGTATGGAAGACATCAGTCAGCAGGTTTGGGAGTACTGTGAGGCAGCAAATCCATGATCAGGGTATCTGCTTCTTTTCTGGGAGGCAGGGGGGGTGGTGGAATCATGCTGACCAGGGTCAGAAAGTGTGTACGTGTATGTGTATGTGTGTGATCTCGCCCCTGCATGTGTGTGCGCGTGTGTGGTGCTGCATGTGTGGGGATGCCCTCACCAGCACCAGCCTGGGTGGAGATCACAGGCTGCTGCTGGCATTCCTTCCTCAGTCACTTGCACCTTACATTTTGAGATAGAGTCTCTCACTAACCTGCAGCTTTTCTCTGCTAGTGAGCCCCCAGGGTCTTTCTGTCTCTGTCCTCCAGTGCTGGTGTGACTGACGCACACCTGGCTTTAATATGAGTGCTGGGGATCTGAACTCCAGCTCCTCATGCTTGTGTAGCAAAACCCGCTTTATCCACTGAGCCATCACTGCAGCCCCATGGACAGACTTGGGGCAGGAGATGAGGGGAGGCAGGAGGACCTGGAACTTCTTGCTGGAACTCAGAAGTGGGATGCTTTAGGAGCTGGTATGACAATCATGGAGCGGGTGCCAGGAAGGAAGATGCCTTGTAAGGTATGACACACCAAGTAGGCCTGGCTCAGAGCCAGAATTGGACCAGGATTCAGTGAGTTGTTTTGGGAGAAGTCCTTCTTGTGATATCCCTCCTGCTCAGGTCAGCCCACTCTCTCCAAAGAATTAGCCCGTTCTGGGCTGGAGTGTAGCCCAGTTGGTAGAGTTTGACTGGCATGCACTTCACCCTGAGTTTGATCCTGGAACAACTTAAACGGGATATGTGATACACTTCCATAAACTTAGCACTTGGGGTTGGAAGCAGGAGGGTAAGTTCAAAGAGGTTGAGGCTAGCCAGAATCCATAAGACCCTTTTAAGAAAAAGAAAGGGTTGGGCAGTGGTGGTGCATGTCTTTACTCCCGACTCAGGATGCAGATGTGGGTGGATCTCTGTGAGTTTGAGGCCAGCTTAGTCCACAGAGAGTTCCAGGACAGCTAGGGCCACATATTGAAACACTGTCTTTTTGAGGAGGAGAGACAGAGACAGTGACACAGAGACAGAAATAGACAGAGACAAGACAGATACAGAGAGAGACAGAAACAGACAGAAAGACAAGACAGATACAGAGAAAGACAGAGACACAGAGAGACAGAGACAGAGACAGAAACAGACAAAGACAAAACAGATATAGAGGGAGACAGAGACCAAGAGAAAGAGACAGAGAGAGAGAAAGGAAGGTTGGTCCCTGACCCTTTCTTTCCTCAGGCTTTAATGAGATGTTGGTAAAGATGCTCATAGAAGTGGCCAAATTAGTGGGTCCTTCCCAAACCGCTGCTGGGTCAAGCACATGTGGTCAGCAGAGACTGTTAGCACAGTAAATTGAAGCTTAATTAGCCAAGCTTTTCTAGAATGATCTCCTGGGTTCTCAGAAACCCTTGCTGTCCACTTTATTTTACTAGGTGGGGAGAAACTGAGGCACAGAGGACCAAAGAAGGTGAGACAGATCCAGGATGGGTATACTTTTGGGGGTGCTAGCTTTCTGGCTCTCCCTAGTCCAGCGGGGCTATGTTCTTTTCTCCTTTGGTCTTGAAAATAATTGGACTCTGCATAGTATGCAGGCCTGGAATCCCAGCATTCTTGGAGGCTGGGGTTGAGGCAAGAGAATCTTTGAGAATTGTAGGCTAGGTGATGTAGTGAGATCCTGTCTCAAAAATAAAATGAAATAAATGAAAAAGAAATCAGGGTCTGGTGCCACATTCTACTCACGACTCCTTGTAATAGACGATGAAGCTGAGCAAGTCCCGGGCCTCCAGAGGCTCATAGCGCTCCCATCGCAGCAGGATGCGGTCCTCTTCAGTGAGGTTGAACACAAAGCGCAGAGTGCGAGTCTGACCTGCATGGAGCAAAAGAAAAGCACCCGCTCTCCACACACCTGCCACAGGCCCACGCTCACCCCCCCCCAGTCGCTAACCTCCTTGGGTGTTTTAGTGCAAGTGTGTGTGTTGCTTTGCATGCACACTTAGGCTGGGAGGGGCCTTACAGGCAGCTCGATCTCCGTTGGTGCGAGGGTTGATCTCAGCCTTGCTCTGCCGACCTCTGGTCCCTGTAACCTCCTCCAGTTGGTATATGTGCTCCAAGCAGAGGCGTGGGTTGAAGGCGAAGTACATTTTGCCCACCGGAATGGTGAGTCCCACAGCCACCCAGGACCCCAACTGTTGCAGGTTCTGGTTGTCCAACACATACAGAGTGTAGTTCCTGGAGAAAGCCGGGTGCCTTGCTCCAGAAAGTGCCAGGGGCTGGGGCAAGAGAGGGACTGGTTCATGGGTTCCCCCGCAGAGGCTGCACTGGGCACAGTTGTAATTTGCAGCTCACTCACATTCACGAGGGGCCTCGGGGCACCTGCTCTTCACCACTGACCAGCAGTGTCGTGTGGTGAAGGGGCCAGACCTTGCCTTGGCACTCCTTCATCTCACTTTAACTGAGCACTGGCTTGGGCCACAGAAGCTGCCTGGCCAGCTTGGCTGTGAGTACTCCTCGGGGGGGGGGGGGGGGGAGCCGCAGTCATATGCCAGGAGACGGAGGAGCCACTTGACTGATGACAATTTAAACCTTTTTTTATTTTGAAAAAACACTGGCTTCTTCGTGAGGAGGCCTTGGTGGCTAGGTGGTAGGAGTGGTTTTACACCCCGGAAGATTCATTCTGCAACTTAACTGTCAGGTCCTTCCTTAAGGAACAGCCTGAAACTCTTATTGTATGTACTGTGTGCTAGCCACTGTGTAACACACTTTACATACAACATCGTAAGTAGCAAACACAATCCTAGAAAAAGCTTCCTATTACAGAAGGAAAACCAGACCAAAAAACTCAAGAAACCTCCCCAAACTCACACAGCAAACTAATTTTAGAGCCCATTGTCTTCACCATTGTTCTGAGGATGCTGAGGACCCTTACCCGTCCACCATGGAATCTCCCCGGATTAGTTTCAGGTTCTTGAAAAAGCCCAGGGACACGAGTGCAAAAGAGTGCTTGATTTTGAGGAAGCCAGTGATGGTCTCCACGAGCCCCAGATTGCGTTGAAGCTCTGGCTCCAGGTTGTCTGGGGATGAGGAAGATAGGGCTGCAGCAAGGCCAGGGAATGTAAGGGTTTACAGGGTGGGGAGCTGGAGGGACAAAGGCATAGGCCCCTGGGTGAGGGGAAGCCATGCAAGAAATACAGGCAGGCAGGAGAGTGTGGCCAGGACGGGCATGACCAGGAAGAGTACTGACAGCCTTGGCGAAGGTTGAGGATGAGGCTCCCCTCCACGTGGGTGCAGCCCACCAGGTCCTGTGTGGCTTGGACAGAGTCGATGGTCTTTGTGCCGACCTTGCATTCTTTGGGGCACAGCCCCTCACACTTGTGGCAGAAAATGCTGGCAGGACAAGCAAATCACCTAAGCCTTGGACTGATGAGACTGCTTGGGTCTCCCAAATACCCCAAGGCTACCCCTCTCACCTGCTGCCATTACGGGTGAAGCCTGGAGGGCACTGAGCCAGGCAGCTGCCCTGGTAGATGCCAAAGGCAGCTGCATGGCCAGGCACCTCGCGCAGATGGGCACAGAGCTCGGCAGTGACACAGCGCCAGGACTCATACTGGTAGGTGCCCGGGGGGCAGGCCTGCAGGCAGACTCCTTGGAAGGAGAGGTGACGGCAGGCTACACAGGCCCGAGGGTCTTCAGGCCGGCTGCAGCCGCCCAGACATTCACTGTGGCAGCACTCGCCACCTGCTGTGCAGGCCAGACCACGGGGGCACGGGCACACTGCAGGCAGAGGACATCAGACCTTACCTACCCCTTGGAAACCCCTCAGTGATGCCCTTTTCCAACCCTGGCTCACTGAACCTTATGGTAACACTCAGTGCCAGATAGCTCTGGTCCAGATTACACTACTAACTTTGTTTTTGTTTGTTTGTTTGTTTGTTTTGCATCATGGATGCTTGAAGACAAGCATGGGGCCTGTCTGTGTGCTCCAGCTCCCACAGCACCTCCTTGAGAGTATCAGAACTCAAGCTGGGCTGGGCTGCATTCCTTTAATCCCAGCACTTGGGAAGCAGAGGGTGGTGAATCTCTGTGAGTTTGAGGCTAGCCTGGTCTGCATAGCAAGTTCTAGTCCAGCAGAGGGTACACAGAGAGGCCCTCCCTCAGATAAAAGAAAAGAGAGACACCCCAGGATGGAGCAGTGACCTTGCCCATCAGTATTGCTGCCCTGCCTAGGCTGTCCTGTGGTGGCTTGGTGTGGTGCCAAAGGGAAACAGCTGGCTGTGCCTGATCAGCTAGGCCAGGGCAAGGTGTGTCCAGCCAGGGCCTGTTGACATGGTACACAAATTAAGAGGACATGCGGCAGCTGTGTTTACAGCCAACAGGGAGGCAGCTCACTGCTGATACAGCAGGGATCTGGTTATTCTCCTGCCCGGAGCTGAGGCTAGAGGTGAGGGGGACAGAACTTGAGCTGTATGAGCTTCATGAGAAAAACTAGAAACCCCAGGTCTGCTCCTGGATCCTGGAAAGCCTTACTTCCCTCCCCACTTTCTCCACTGCTTTCCTTCTGCCTCCGGGTGGACTTCCAAGGTCACAGGCTTGCCTTTGCCTGTCCTTCCTATTTCAGCGCTACCAGCTTGATCACCTTGGCTGAGACCACTTTTACTGAAACTATAGTCTTGATTCTGTTCTAATGCTGCGTAGGCTCCCACCCACACCCTACCTCAGCTCAGAGGAGACAGGCACAGAGATGTCAGATGAGCCCAGCTAGTGAGCAGAGGTGCATCCTTGGCTTCTGCCTCAGAATGCTGATTTCTGCACCCTGGTATCTACCCTCTTTCCAAACCCCCTCCTTACCTACCCTGTGCCTGCCTGATGTCACATCAGTTATTTAGTTTCTCTGAACATCTGTTTCTTTTCCTGTAAAATGGGATAATGAGGGTACCTGCCTCATTAGAAGGGTAAAGATTTAAAAACAATGGCAGCAAGCCAGGCATACTCAGCACTTAGGAGATGGAGACAGAGTAGTTAGGTGTTCAAAGCCAACCTCAGCTACATGTCAAGCTTCAGGCCAGCCTAGGCTACATTATATGTTGTCTCAAAAACAAAAACAAACAAACAAACAAACAAACAAACAAAGAAAACCAAATAGCTAAAGGTAGGACAGCAAAGTGTGGCTCCACCTCATCCAGCCCTGCCTCCCTGTGGCTAGAGCTATCTTCTGTGGAAATGCCCACCTCTCTGACAGTGGCTGGACGTCCAGCACCTGTGGTCAGTGTGCCCACTGAAGGTGGTTCTTGCACAGGGCTCACCAGCAGCACCCAGCACACCAGGGCAAACGTCAGCACACTCCTCGCCCTTGTTCCCTACAATGTGGTTGGCACCAGGTGCAGGCTGCAGCAGGCCCCAGTCAATGGTGGAGAGATGGCACAGTTCCTGGTTTTTCTCAACACGCACAGCCCCACGAAGCACGGCCCCAAGCGACGGCAGCCCGATGTCCCTTAGGTGGGGCATCTCAAAGATGATGAGCCCATAGCCCAGGAAGAGGCGTGCACCTCGGATCACGGCCAGGTTGGGAAAGAGGTCTCGAAGGCTCTCCAGACCATAGACTCGGAAGAGCAGCAGGTAGTCGGTCACCTGGGTGAGGCTCGGGAAGCTGAGGCCCCGGAAGTCCTCTCCGGTGGCAGCAAACATGAGAAGGATCTGCAGGTGGCCCTCCACCACACTGCAGTTCTCCAGGCGACGAAGCTCTGTAACCTCGGAGCGGATATCCAGGCTGGGGCACACTGTGGGCACATGTGGGCAGGCAAATGAGTACAGTACAGACCAAGAACCCTGTCCTGGCAGCTCCGCTGGTGGGGCAGAGTGGAGGGAACCAAGTTGTGCTCTAATGAAGAGTTGTCTCCTCCCAAACAAGCAGACAGACGCCTAGTTAGGGTCTTCTGTTCCCTTACATGACTCCTTGCCTCCCTAAATCACCGCGGTGAAGACGTCTCCTACTGTCCTGCTCTTTTGGCGGAGTCAGTGCTGGCTAGGCAAACACCATATTGTTGAGTCCCATCCCCAGACCACGGTGTTTTGAGACAGGGTCTTACTGTGTAGCTCTGGTAGCCTGGAGCTCTGTCCTTCTGCCTCTGTCTTCTGAGCACCACACCCTGTTTCCCTGTAACTCTCAACTAACTGTATATAATTTGCATATTTATTTTGCTCATTGCAAGCCTCATGAAGGCAGATATTTTGTTTAACTCACTGCTATACCCTAGTTCACGTATAGTGCCTGACACAAGTATGGTGCTTAGTGAATGGTGAGAAGTGAGTGCACATTGTGCCTGGGAAGTGCAGGCTGAGCTTTGGTCCTCAGGAGCCAGCCCAATGGTATCTAAGTCTTTTCTGCTTTTGAAAGGACATTCCGTGGTTCCTCTTTGCCAGAGCAGAGGCCCTCATTTCACTTCCTTAACCTAACATTTTGGGGTGTAGACAAGCTTGTCCCCATTCACCTCTCTAGCCTCAAACCTACAAAGGTCTTTGGCCTGTAATCCTGGGTCCCAGTGTCCTTGCTAGAGCTCTCTGACCCTGCATCCGTTTCCCTTCAGGGGTCATTTCCCTTAGTTCAGCAGTCACAGGAATACCTTGTGTGCTGCTCAGCATGGCTGTTTACACTCTCTTCAAGATTCTGGCTGTTCTAGGTCAACTTTGCATCCCCCATGGTATCCAGCTCAGGACTGGGACTCGGGGAACCATGGACTGTGAACATATAGATACTAAATCTGCTCTTTTCTTTGGGACCCACCCATTTGCTTTTCTAGTCTCAAGGCCTTCAGGCTTGTTTCCATATGGGGGCTGGGTGCTTGGCCTCACTTCCTCCCAAGGAGAGCTTGCAGGGTCTTCATTTAAGGAAGTCTGAATGCTTCAGTTTAACATTCAGGTACACTTCCCCTCTCCTCACCCAACCCTCTAGAAATATCACACACACACGCACGCGCGCGCACACACACACACTGGTACCACACCCCACATTTTCCCACACAGGCCAGCCTAGTCCCTGGCTTAGGGCTTCTCAAGGCTGATAGGGATGGGGTGGGAGACAGGAAGTCTTCCTCCCTGTACCTTCTCTCTGTGGTCTATGCTTGACTGTCAGCTGTTGTATGTGTGCATGCACACATGCCCATATACTTGGGAGCACAATAGTGGAGGCAGGTACATACACAAAAGAGGAAAAGAAGGAAAAACACTTCTGTTCCCTCTGTGAAAGCCAATTAGACTCTTTGAGGCAGGTGGGGGGGTTCCCTCAGGTGCCCACTTCCCATCATGCCTTATCCTCTCCAGAGCTCCCCTAATGTGAGACATTGGAAAAACAAATCTAAGACCTCTAAAGCTTAACCCCTGCCTTTCCTCAGGCCAAGCCCCAAGTAGAGCTTCACTGGGAAACAACAGCTGGGCCTGTTGGCCAAACACTGAGTCCCAAGATATGCTTGCTTTATTTTGACAACTGGGCTCCTGCCTGGCATCCACTGTGCAGTGTCCTGGCACAGAAGGGGAAGGGGTAGGACCCTCAGGCAGATCACCATGCATTGCAAATCTTCTGTGATGGTCCTTTTCCGACAACACCTCACCCCAAGTCCAGTTGTATTATCTGTACAGAAAGGGGAGCCCTGCCTTGATCCTGGGAGCTTTGGGAGAGCATCCTAAGACCCTTCACAGTCTCAGAGTGCTGGGTTCCCAAGCTTTCTCTGAATGGAGGACAAAGGGAGATTGATGATGGAGTGGTACATTTAATCTTCCTCTTCTGCTGCTACCTTTTCCCACATAGCCTCTGGCAGCCCTCTGAGGGCCACTTGGTCCGATGGTCCTACTCCACAGGTGCCTTGGGTGGGAGATGTGTATTTGAGGAATATCGATGAGGCATGGAGGAGAGGCAGTCCTCTCTTGGATAGCTGGTGGGGGACATGGACTAAAGCTGGGATGCTGGAGCTCAGTTTCTGGGTCTGCTTCTCCGAGCCTACTATTCACACAATAGGTTAAGTTGCTTAATGGTGCCTGGTTTTCAGCTGTTGGTCTCACCCTGCCCTTAACATTCAGTGGCCCTTTAAAATGACTTCTAATTCTTAGAGTCTCATTTTGGTTCAAACTCAGACTTTACTGGGATCATGGTTTCACAAACAGCAATGGATTGCAGAACATCTGTTCATTCCATTTCCAATTCCTTAATGCTTAGGGAGCTGAGAGGCGGGGGGGGGGGGGGACTCTTCAGATACCAGTTCTAACTGGTGAAAAGTCCTTCTGAGGGCTAATCCTAGTCGTCATGGTCCAATAAAGAAAGATTAAGTAGAAATCAGATGTGGTGGCGCACACCTTTAATCCCAGCTCTAGGGAGGCAGAGGCAGGTGAAACTCTAAATTCGAGGTCAGCCTGGTCTACAGATCTAGTTTTAGGACAGCCAGGGTTACAAAGATAAACCCCGTCTTGAAAAATAAAAACCCAAACAAACGAGTATAGGTGTTCTGGGAGGGAGATGGGGTTGAAGGGCGTTGCTGGGGACTCACCCTCTAGTGTGTCCAGGCCAGATCCCAAGGACAGCAGGCTCATAAGCAGGTGTACTCCCCAGGGCCACAGGGCAGCCACTGCCATGACCTGATTTTCTTTCAGGCGTCTTCCAGGGAGAAAGGAGGATGCAGACCCAGGTTCCAGAGTGGAGGGAGTCACACAGGACAAAGGGATTAGAAATCTCAAGTAGAGACAGGAGAAGATAGAAAAGAATCTCAGATTAGAGGAAATAAATCCTGCATCAGGCAGTTGGAGATAGCTTCAGTGTGATCTGGAGATGGAGAAGGGAACAGAGGCAGAGAGAAGCAGGACAGCCTCAGAGAGGCCTTCAGAGGAAGAAAGTGACCCAGGATTCAGATCACAAAGGTCCAGAGGCTGGACAGTTCAGAGCGGAGGTGGAGCGGAGCGCCCCGGAGCGCCCAGGAGCACCCCGGAGGCGGCAGCGGGGTCCGGACTCCACCCGGGACTCCGCGGACCTCCTGGACATTCAGACTTCAGCCTCTGGCGGCGGCTCCTGAGGCAGGAGCGCAGGCACCTCGCCCAACTCCCACCCTTTCCAGAAACGGATTGGTTTGTGCCGACTTCCCCGCTCTCTCCGCTCCTCCCACTAAGTCAAGTAAAAATATTTAGCCTGTCAACTGAGGGTGGTTGATATGATATGAGGGGGACAGATATGTTGGGGAAATAAGACCACAATGCCGAAGGGGTTGGGGGCCAAGAACTGAACTCCCAGTCCTCACTCCTTGGCAACTTCGCTCTCACCTCTAGCACTCCCTCCACTCGCTGCAGACCGGGACGGAGCCGCTGGGCGCCTGGTTTGAAGAGCAGTGGTTCTGGAGTCCAACAGGTGACCTCCGGCAGTCTGGACAGGTCGGACTCCGCTTGCGGAACCTAAAGACCTCAGCCTCGCCTCTCGCAGCCCCTCCGAGCCCGCTGAGGCCACTTGGACCAGAGCCCCTTGGCGTGGGGTATGTCTCCGCCAAGTCCCTTGGTTTTGGCTCTGATCTCCACGATAAGAGCCATCTTTCTGTGAGATTCCGCCTTCATTTATAGTTCCTTTTGAGAATTTAGGATGCTTGGTGGTCCCTGTAAGTGTACTTGTTTGGAAGCGCTTGGGGGGCTGTTCGTGCTGTAGCTTGACGCAGAAAGCTATCTGCCCCAAAGACTCCCTTAGCTAGGTCCTACTCACTTCCGGTCAGTCTCTTAAATGTGAGACCTAAACATGCAGCCGCGAGGCCAATGCACAAGACCTGCTCTTAAGTGGCCTGGATGCTGGGACCCTAAGACTTCCCCAGGTTCACAGATACCAAGGGCCGACAGTTCCCAGTTCTACCCGCGGGCAACTCCCACGTCCGAAGAGCTAAGAGATCTATTAATTTCTCCGCTCAGAAATCGATGCGCTTGTCAGGACAGCGATCGATGTTAGGCCTGATAGGCTTGGCCCAACCCGGCTCTGGGGCCCAGCTGGCTTGGCTGGGATTGGGGCCTGGCCCTAAAACCAAAGGCATATCCTAGCAGGGCTGCGAACCGCTGTCCCGAGCCCTCGAAGACCCGGGCCGGGTGCAAACGCTGCGGCGCAGAGCTTCTAGCGCCGTCCTCTGGTCTCTTGCCGACCAAGAGGTCTCCCCTTCCCACTCTCCGCCCAGCTGCGTTCAGAGACCTGTTCTCCACCCTGCTGTCCTCCCCAGGTTCTCCGTCCAGACATTTCGGGGCCACCTCCCTTTCCTTACTAGGGTCTGGAGAACGTTCATCTAGTTTTTCCCAAGTGACGTGCACACTCCCTTAGGCAAAGCGCACCGTGAGGCCGGCTGAAATGACCTGGACTTCAGCCTTTTCCTTGCTCAATCTCTGCCTGTCCCGCAAATCTGAAAACGCAGCTGTTTTACTGAAAGAAATAACGGATCTGCTTCCTAGCTCCCCTGGTCTCAGAAGACACTAGGGAGGCAATCTGTGGCACTCCGCCTCCCCAGGTCTCTTGCAGCCGCGATGGACATTAGAGAGGCGCGCTGGCATTAGGGCTCCAAAGGGGAGTTGGGCACCCGGGGCTTCGGCAGGCGGGGCGGGGCGGGGCGGGGCTGCGGGTGCCGCCCTCTCCTGGCGGCTGGTCTTTAACACCGCCCCGCGCACGTGTCGCGCGAGGCCCGGCGGCAGCAGCTAGGAGTGCACTGACGGCCGCTCGGCCCGGGCTAGGCGGGCGCCGCCGGGATGCTGCGAGGCCAGCGGCGCGGGCAGCTGGGCTGGCATCTCCCGGCCGCAGGGCTAGGCGGTCTGCTGGCTTCATTGATGCTGGCCTCTGTCTGCGCCGCATCCTGCCGGGAGGCCTGCTGTCCCGTGGGCCCCTCGGGGTTACGCTGCACTAGGACAGGCACCCTGGACACCCTCCACGGGCTGCGGGGCGCCGGGAACCTGACGGAGCTGTGAGTATGTGGCGGGAGAGGCGCGCAGGGTCAGGAGGGCACAGCCCTTCCCGAGGGCGCGCACTCACCTCTGGTTTTGAGGGGCCAGGCTAGGCTGCTGTAGGAGACTGGCACGTGTAGCCTTTGGCTGTGCTGCAGCGGCTTCTGCTGCTGCCATCACCCTGGCAAAGGCGCGCAGTCACTGTCTGGATGTCACCCAGGATCAAGAGTAGCTGGGGTGCTAGCTTGGGACAGAGCAAGAGGGAAACTCGGCGGACCAGATACTGTTCAGCGATCTCTGTGTGGGGTTTAGTCAAGACCCCAAGTTCTGCCCCGTGGAGGAGTGGTTAGTTGTGCAGAATTTGGCAGTGTGGTACTTTGCTATCTTCTCTTTCTTAGGGGAAAGACAGCCCCCAACTTCTTCCTTGTCATTCCCAGAAATCCATCTCTTCTTTGGATTTGTGATTGGGCTGGAGTTGGTGGAGGTGGTGAGGAACCGCCTTGGTGTCTGAGCTTTTTCCTTTTCACTGATTACAAGACTCCTTGATTTGGATGTGGGAAATGAAGCCCCTTTCCTTCTCTCCCTGCTCCCCCATCTTTCCTTTCACCCGTGTCTCTCTACTTGTATCAGGGAATCAGGGCTGCTGCTGAGAGATTCTCCCCTTTTCCAGGTCTAGATTTTGGAGGAACCTTCAGCTCTGTAGTACTTTGACCTTCTGCAATAATCGCTTACAAAATACTCAAGTACTGTTTAGCAACTAGTGAAACCTATGAGAGTATAATTGACCCGAAGGGACTCAGCATCACACAGTGATGACTGGAAAATACTTGAGTATTCTACATGCTGGTGGAGCCAGCAGTGAGTGGCACTGAGTTCCTCAGGCATCTTGTGGTAATTAACGGAGGTACTCAATCTCTTTCTAATGGCCCTGGGGAGACAAGGAAGAGAGGAGATGGCCTTGTCTCAGTCTGGGCTCCTGCATGATGGGACAGGACATGAGGACTAGACTGTTGCTCCCAGGCCTGTCTATCCAAACCAGAGCCCAGACCCCTGACTGTTTGCATCAGTGTTCTCAATCCCAAGAGCCCTTCCAGGCTCCAGGGAAGTCCAGCCCAGGCCAGGGCCAGTGGACAAGCCAGCACTGTAAAAGAGGAGGTTGGCAGGGTGGTGAGCTGAGGTGTCCCCCTGGGTGGGGCCCGAACCTCCCAACTCCTCCTGCACAGACTTCTCCCTCCTCTCTCACCGCATAGCTAACAAGGAGCTAATGGACTCGAATAGACAGATTGATTATGAATCTGAACAAATGAGGCAGCATGGCTCACATTGCCTGACAGCTCGTACATACCCAGCTATGTGCGTCTTCTTAGCAACTCCCTGGGTCTCCATAGCTCGAAAACCTTGGGCCAGAACAGTGAGCTGGCCTCCCTCAAAGTGGCTAGCTATAAATCCTTAGGCCTCCAGGGCACAGACATTCACACACCCATCCTGTGGGGGTCAAGGCTGGGATGGGGAAGCACAGGGCCCTTGGGCTGACCCTGCTCTTTTGGTGTTCTTTAGAGAAAGTCCACAAGAGAGGGGAAGAGTTCTGAGAATTGTCAGTGAGTCAAGGGCCCCTGGCACACGTGCAGGTGGGGAGGGGAGAGGAGGACCTAGAGGACAAGTCACTACAGGGGAGTGACTTCACAGGAACTCCAGAATGCCAGATTCACAAGATAGGACTGCAACCACAGCCACTCCACCTCCCCCACCCCCAGTGCTGCTGGCTCTCATGCCTTTTTTCTTTTCTCTTCTTTTCCTCCCTGGTTCTTATTCTCCCTGGTTCTCCATCCTTATCTCTGTCTCAGTGTCTCCCTTTTTTGTTTTTTATCTGTATGTCCCTTTCCTTCCCCCAACCCCACTGTCTTTTTGCTGTCATTCCCTTCTGAGTTTTCCACTCTTTGTTTATCTGCCCACGTTCTGCCACCTGCCTCATTCAGCCTTCCTGTGTCTCACACTGTAACCCCATCTCTCTTCATCCACACAGTTGGACTCTGTCCACTCCACTGGGGTCCCCGACAGTTCTATGCTTCTTGCTTGCTCTAGAAGAGTGTGGAGAAGAACTAATGAACTAAAGGGACAGAGGGGTGGGGTGCATTCGTGTGTGCGTCTGTGTGTCCAGTGTCAATGAACCCAGAGAGTAGCAAGTATGTTTGGGAGCACACACTAGCATGACAATTGGGGTACCTTTAGCACTGGGTGGAGCAGCAGCACCAAGAGCCTTGCCCTTTGTGGGAGTAAGTCTTGGGCATGAGCGACCCCTATTGTTGAGCATATATACGCTGGAGAAGCCTGCTGTAAAAATGGAGCCCCATGCTGACAATGGCAATGTGCCTTGACTAACATGTCTTCACACCTTCTCATCTGGGTATGAATAGGAGAAGTCTGTGTGAGCTTTGTTTATGTGTGTCCTTGAGTGAGGGTATTGGGATAGCCCTGTGTGTTTCTGTACTCTTGCATATGTGTTGCAGGAGGCATGTCATTGTCTGCATGTATGTAAAGGTGAGGGTGCATGCATGTATGCACATATGTGACTTGTGAGTCTTTTCAGCACGTGGGGCATGTGTGTGAATGGGTTGCGAAGTGGGTTTGTGTGTGAATAGTGCATTTGCTTGTGTGAGAGAGGAGGGTTGCTTGTGGACATGGGGTAACCCCACTGAGGCCCTGACTCCTGTTGGCCTGCTCCTCTCCCGTCTCCTTGCAGCTATGTGGAAAACCAGCAGCATCTGCGACGCCTGGAGTTTGGGGACCTGCAGGGCCTGGGGGAGCTGAGAAGCCTGTGAGGACTAGGGGTAGACAGGGTGGGCCTGGGCACAGGGTGGTGGGTGCCCACACATACTGGGGTCTGGGAGAGGGCTGGAGGCTCAGGGGCTTGAGGGGATCCAGGTAATTGTGGGAACTAAGGCATGGAGAGGGTGCACGGCTTCACAGGGGCATCTGGCCTGGGAGAGCGGGGGTGGGGGGCAGAGTTTAAATCCCTCTTACCCCATTCCTAGAACCATCGTGAAGAGTGGCCTCCGCTTTGTGGCCCCAGATGCCTTCCACTTCACTCCTCGGCTCCGTCACCTGTGAGTGGTCAGGCTGGATCCGTGAGGGCGGGGCTGAGGAGGAGCTGCTAA